AGGTAATGCTAAATTTGATCACATGGATAAAGGTGTGACTGCCAGATCTCCACTATGAAAACATATCTTTCTCTTTGCAATTCATAAATAATTGGTAGGGTGACACCCTGAGACCATGTATATATCCTCTTCACCTACAATCTTTCACTCAGTGGTTTTAATGGTCAATGCTGATCCTTGCCTGACTCAATTATCAGCACAAATCATTATCACTCTACACATTTAGCCACCCTTCTGCTGTAAAGGACAACTTTACATTCTGCCCCTCTCCCCTTTCTCTTTGTATTGGGGTAGGGTTTTTGGTAAGTATCATTATGGACTAACTAACACATTATCTTTTCATTCAATGTGTTATAATTCATTACTATCATTTTTCTTTTTGATTATCAAATTGTCCCAAATTTGGCCTGTGAGAACCCTTCTTTCAGGTGGGCTGCTAGGTCTTTTGACATGTCCCCATCCATTTCTGAGCTCTCCTTGCTTTTTTTTTTTTTTTTTTAAAGATTTTATTTATTTATTCATGAGAGATAGAGAGAGAGAGGCAGAGGCAGAGGGAGAAGCAGGCTCCCCGCGGAGCAGGGAGCCCGATGCGGGACTCGATCCCAGGACCCTGGGATCATGACCTGAGCTGAAGGCAGACGCTTAACCGACTGAGCCACCCAGGCGTCCCTCTCCTTGCTTTCTGATATAAAATGTTCTAGGATCTCATTGCCCCATGTTCTGGAATCAGGAATTTCTCTAAGGAGCATTGGCTCCTTTTAGGAAATAGTATTTGGAAACCAAACTTTGGGCACTGAGTATGTTCATTCTTACTAGGGCATCATTGCTTCTAAGGCCTTTCCATGGACTGACATAGAAAATAAATTTTAAAAGATCTGTGAGTTCATATTTATACCTCCAGTTCAAATTCAAAACCATGCTGTACTTCTCAGTTCCCCCCTACTCCATATTTGTATCTCCTCAGAACACTGGTTCCCCAAAATCCAATATAGTTACTCATTTGCTCTGTCCTACATTACACACAAAATCATTTCAGAATTACTATACAAGCACCACTAACAACAACAAATTGCTAAGTATAAAGATCTCTTTGTAGGTTATGATTCTTAGAATATTTCCCCCCAAGTCTTTACAGTCAAAATATTTATAAGCTACTTAAATCAATTTTGGGGTATGTTATGAATTTGTTAGGTTCATTTGTTTCTATTTGTATTCAAATTTAAGGTTTGCTTTTTTTTATCATTTTTTACTTAATTTTGTTGTTTGAATATATGAAATACTTGCATAGTTCAAAAGTCACAACTATAGAAAAACATATCCTCAGGGAAGTCTAACTTCCATCCTTATCCTCCCCACACTGCCCCCCAACCCCGACACTCCTTACAGATAATTATTTCATTGGTCTCTGGGTTAATCCTTCCTATGTTTCTCTTTTGCAAAGATAAGCTTTATTTTTTTTTATTTCTCCCTTCTTCATTACTAAAAATGGACCATAATTACCATACAGGCATACCTCATTTTATTGTGCTTCACTTTACTGTGCTTCACAGATCCTGTGTTTTTTTACAAGTTGAAGGTTTCTGGCAACCCTGCATCAAACAAGGCTTTTCCTGACATTTTTCCAACAGCATTTGCTCACTTTGTGTCTCTGTGTCACAACTTGGTAATTCTCACAGTATTTCAAACTTTGCCGTTATTATTATATTTGTTATGGTGACCTGTCATCAGGGATCTTCGGTGTCACTACTGCAATTGTTTTGGAGAGCACAAACTGCACCCATATAAGATAGCAAACTTGATTGCTACATGTTCTGTATTCTGACTTCTCCACCAACCGGACATTCCCCCATCTCCCTCCTACTCCTCAGACCTATTCCCTGAGACACAATGATACTGAAATTAGGCCAATTAATAACCCTACAGTAGCCTCTAAGTGTTCAAGGGAAAGAGTCACACATCTCTCACTTTAAATCAAAAGCAAGAAATGATGACGCTAAGTGAGGAAGGCACGTCGAAAGCCGAGACAGGCCAAAAGCTAGGCCTCTTGTACCAGTTAGCCAAGCTGTGAATGCAAAGGAAAAATTCTTGAAAAAAAATTAAAAGGACCATAGGGGTAGGGGGGAAGGAAAACTGAATGGGAAGAAATCAGAAGGGAGACAAACCATATGAGACTCTGGACTCCAGGAAACAAACTGAGGGTTGTGGAAAGGGAGGTGGGTAGGGGGATGGGGTAACTGGGTGATGGGCACTGGGTGATATACTCAACTAATCAATCACTGAACATTATATCAAAAACTAATAATGTACTATACCTTGGCTTCTTGAATTTAAATTAAAAAATGGTTATAATAGTAAAGTTTATGCCATGTATATTTTGCCACAATAAAAAGAATTAGAATCATGTAAAAAAAAAAAAAGTGCTACTCCAGTGAACACATGAATGATAAGAAAGCAAAACAACCTTATTGCTGATAATGGAGAAAGTTTTAGTGGTCTGGATAGAAGATCAAACCAGCTACAACATTCCCTGAAGCTAAAACCTAATCTAAACTAACGCCCTAATTCTCCTCAATTCTAAGAAGGCTGACAGAGGTGTGGAAGCTGCAGAAGACAAGTTGGAAGCTGGCAGAGCTGGTTCATGAGGTTTAAGGCAAGAAGTCATCTTCACAGCATAAAAGTGCAAGGGGAAGCAGCAAGTGCTGTTGTAGAAGCTGCAGCAAGTTCTCCAGATAATTCAGCTAGGATCATTCATGAAAGTGGCTACCCAAAACAACAGATGTTCATTGTAGATGAAACAGCCTTGTATTAAAAGACGATGCCATCTAGGACTTTCATAGCTAGACAGAAGTCAATGCCTGGTTTCAAAGCTTCAAAAAACACGCTGACTCTTGTTAAGGACTAATGCAGCTGGTAACTTTAAGTTGAAGCAAGGCTCCTTGATCATTCTGAAAATCTTAGGGTCCTTAAGAATTACGCTCAATCTACTCTGCCTGTGCTCCATAAATGGAACCATAAAGTCTGGATGACAGCACATCTGTTTACAACTCGCATTATGGAATATTTTAAGCCCACTGTTGAGACCTACTGCCCTGAAAAAAAGATTCCTTTCGAAATATTACTGCTCAGTGACAACACACTTTGGGTCACCCAAGAGCTCTGATGGAGATGTACGAGATTGATGATGTTTTCATGCCTGCTAACTCAACATCCATTCTATAGCCCATGAATCAAGGAATAATTTTGACTTTCAAGTCTTATTGTTTAAGAAATACATCTCGTAAGGCTATTGCTGAAAACCTTGAGGAAAGGATTCACCATTCTAGATGTCATTAAAAACATTCATGGTTCATAAGAGGTCAAAATATCAACATTAAATATAGGAGTTTGGAAGAAGTTGATTCCAACCCTCACGGATGGCTTTGAGGGGTTCAAGACTTCAGTGGAGAAAGCAACTACAGATGTGGTGGAAACAGAAGAGAACCAGAAGTGGAGCCCAGAGATGTGACTAAACTGCTGCAATCTCATGATAAAACTTGAACAAATGAGGAGCCGCTCTTCACGCATGAGCAAAGAAAGTGATTTCTTGAGATGGAATCTACTCCTGATCAAGATGCTGGGAAGACTCTGGAAATGACAACAAAGGATTTAGAGTATTCCATAAACTTAGTTGACAAAGAGGCAGCAGGGTTTCACGGACTCTAATTTTGAAAGAAGTTCTGCTGTAGGGAAAATGCTATCGAACAGCATCACATGCTACCAAGAAAGTGTTCATGAAAGGAAGAGTCCATCAATGTGGCAAATTTCATTGTTGTCTTATTTTAAAACATTGCTACAGCTACCCCCACCTTCAGCAATCACAGCCCTGATCAATCGCAGCCATCAGCACTGAGGCATGGACCTCCACCAGCAAAGAGATTACAATTCACTGAAAGCTCCGATGACAGCATTTGTAGCAATAAAGTATTTTTAAATTAAGGTGTGTACATTGTGTTTTTAGACATAATGCTATTGCATGCTTAATAGACTACAGTATAGTGTGAACATCACTTTTATATGCACTAGAAAGCAAAGAAACTCATTTGACTCTCTTTATTGCAGTGGGTCTAACCGAAATTATTGTATTTTCAATGTCTCTATATATATTTTCTATCTGGAAATCATTCCAGATCAACTCATAGAAATCTTCCTTATTCTTTTTAATATCCCAGTTTATTCAATCAGTCTCCTATGGACAGACACTTAGGCTTTTTCTAATATTGTGCTGTTACAAATAATCCTATAATAAACAACTTTGGGCATAGGTAATTCCCTATTTGTACAGGTAATTCATCAGGGTAAATCACTAGAACTTGGACTGGGAGGTAAATGCGGGCAGAGTTTTGTTAGGTCTTACAAAACTCTCATAAGATTGTAGCACCTTACATTCCCATCAGCCATACCAGAACGTGTTTGTTTCTTCACAGACTTACCAGCTAAGCATATTCTAATCTTTTGGACTTTTGCCAATTTGAAAAGGTGACAATGGTCTCTCTCCGTGTATTTTAATTTGCATTTCTCTTATTGTTCATGAAGTTGAACATCATTTCATATATTTTATAAGTCATATCTTTTTTGGTGAACTGTTCATGTCTTCTGCTCATTTTTAAAACCACAACTTAAATCTTTTCTTAATGGAAAAGTTACTTCAATAATGCCTTCAAACTTTGTTTCAAAAAGAATAAAAAATAAAAATTGGAAGAAGAATAGATGACTTAACTGAGAATACTAAATAGCACTTAAAACTATACTGTCACATTCTATACTGTGTTCTGAATAGTTTATCAAAAAGTGGCAGTTATTTTAATTGAGAAGAATGTTAAGAAAATGCATTCAAGTACAATTTCTTGATGCTAACTAACATAACTAGCTAACCCCACAAATAACATGCTACTGAGTAAGGTCAAAGTTCAGGAAACAGATGACTGAGAGACATTTTGTTATAACAGTTTCATCACACCCACCTCATTAGTACAGGTAATTCTTCGAGGATGAGGGGCTTCCTGTTGCAACTGATACACTGTAAAGACAGAAAGTAAATCATTCCATATGAGCTCACAGAAATTGTCCTTACTCTTTTAAGTGTTATAGTTTATTCAGTTAGTCTCCTATTGACAAACATTCAGGTTTTTTCCTAATATTCTTGGTAATTTAAACTGGAACTCAGCTGAAATTTAAATTGCACAATCATTAAGTGATTCATCAAAAATTAATTGCTAAATTCAAGATGAGAAGATATATGATTAAAGTACTTAACATTTTTCAATCGCCTTAGCAGTATCAATGCTTATATAGTTATTAATGAATTTCTCAGTACCTGGAGACAGTAACAAAACATTGTTAATCAAGTTCAGATATCACAAATAGGTATCTTGAGGTCAAAATTGGCTCACATGTTTGGTTTGCTGTTTTCTAAATTTAAATTTGTTTTTAACATTTAAAAAAAGAGATTTAACAGCAACAACAAAGGTAAAAGAGAATTCCACTTCTGAAAAATAAGACAACATCAGAGCAAGCGCTCAATAAAGGGGAGCTAATTATGAGCCCTCCCTGCAAACAGGGGCATCCATGCTCTACTTGCCCTCCATTGGCACTTGGCTCGCTTGCCTCATTCATTACAGGTTAGGGCCCTGGTGCAGTCAAGCAATTCCTATCAAAAAGCAACAAAACTAGAGGCGCCTGGGTGGCACAATCAGTTAAGTGTCCGACTCTTGATTTCTACTCAGGTCACGATCTCATGGCTGTGAGATCCAGCCCCGCATAGGGCTCTGAGCTCAGTGGGGAGTCTGCTGGAGGATTCTCTCTCCTTCTACCCCTCCCCCTGCTCATGCTCTCTAAATAAATAAATAAAATCTTTTTAAAAAAGACAATAAAACGATATTTATGTAAAAAGAGTCCTCAACTTAGACATCTTGCTAGTTCTATTTTCCTATTGGTTCGTATTTTTAAGTTTTTAGAATTATGTTGGGTAGAGCTCAGGCACTGAGGTTACTAAAAGAAACTATAAAATTCAGTAGCAGAATTGTCACACACAAAAAATGTCATTTTTAAGAACATGATAGCTACTGTAAGACATGTAGAGATACAGAAAATACAAATCACCTATACATTTAGTGCTCAACATTCTTCAAGGGGAAACAAATTACCACCACGATTTAATAACAATGTGAGGCTTCACAGATGCTCTTACACAAAGAAATGTGCAAGGTACAAGTCAGAGCAAAGGGAACAAAGGTAAACTGAAAACCAGAAAATGCAGACAAGAATTTTAAATAGACTTCTAGCCAATGAGATTATGAGATAAAATCTTTAAGAAGTAAAGAACATTAGTCATTTTTGTACACTCTTTGAACTATACTCCCCAGAAATAAAAAGACACCAGCAGGGATGGGGGAAAAAGCCTCTATGGCAATATTTTTAGAGACTGTTCATATTTTGCTTACTATAATTAGCCCAAAGTAGCAACCTATTAAAATAAAACTATCTGTTGTTCTGGGAACATAAAGCCAAGAATCGGAATTGCTGCTCCTTCAGTCAGCAAATGGCAGCAACTTACAAATAACAAATCTAGGATAACTCAACATTTACAAAGATGTTAAAAATGTGTATTTAAACTACAGGTTTCGGGCGCCTGGGTGGCTCAGTTGGTTGGGCGAGTGCCTTCGGCTCAGGTCATGATCCTGGAGTCCCGGGATCGAGTCCCGCATCAGGCTCCCTGCTCGGCAGGGAGCCTGTTTCTCCCTCTGACCCTCCCCTCTCTCATGTGCTCTCTCTCATTCTCTCTGTCTCAAATAAATAAATAAAATCTTAAAAAACAAAAAAACCAAAAAACTACAGGTTTCTTAGGTTGCTCATCCGAGTCCAGAGATAAACAAAAACCTCCAGTACTGTGTCTGCAGTAGTGCATTCATGGATTGCCTCTTAAAGCTACTCTGATTATATTAATCCTATTTCCACTTTTTAAAAATCTGAAATATCTTTTACTTGAAAAAATAATATTCTCTAGGAAGCAAGGAAGGGGACATAAAGGGCTAAGAACCTAGACTCTTTGGAAAAGATTTTTATTCTAACACAAAGTTTAAAGAGCAATATAGAATTCAAATGTCTCCCTTTTGTATTCGGGAAAGCAATTCCTAAAAAACCAAACACACCCAAAAACCCACTCTTTTCACCCACTCCTTCTATCAAGATAGCCTCCTGACTTACCACTTATATAATCCTTTTGCATACAAAGAATTAGGATTTGAGAATAATTGCATTGCTTGAATTCTTAGTTAGCTTCTCCTCGCATTAGTTTTTATCAGCCAATGTCAACAAGTGGTCACAAGTTCAATATGGAATTCCACCTAAACTCAGAGGGATGAGATGCATTCCAGACATGCAAACCAGAGACAGACCTTATGGAAACACTCCTGTTTTCCCAAATCTATGCTATTCCCAAATCCTGCTGCAAATTAATTTTTCAATCATGTGTATAAAATGAAATGAATCTTCCTATCTAATGATCTTATTATTTCTCGATCACTTATAAAGCACTATAACACACCCAATTTAAAATTATTTGTATACTTACAGTAAGATTTCCAAACAGGAGGTCTATATTCATCTGTATCTGGAAGAATAAATACCAAATTAACATTACTGATATTTATATTTTAATCACATATATTTAATATAATTAAGTTAAATTAATATATATTTAATCATATATTTAATATATATTTGTTGAGGTCTATGTGTCCTAGGCATTGTGTTGGACTCTAAAGGGCATTCAGAGGTTTTTTGCTCTTGGTCCTTACTTTCTAGGAGTACAGTTTCACAAAGATGTTCAGAGAAAGTTACTGTATTTATTCAACCGGTTATCACATAAAAACACCAAGGTTAATTTTTACAACAGGCACTCATTTCTCACAGTCACTAATAGTCAATAAAGTCTTTATATCTCTGGGCGTAACTCTATAACTATTTCACTGAAAGACCCCTGAAATCATTGGAATTTTTCTTTTTCAGTAATATTGACCAGATAACACATTTAATCCTCAGAAATGTACCTCCCCCATCACATTTGGGGGATTCCAGTGTAAATGGTTTTATTAACATCAGGAGAGAAGAGAAGCAAGGTACTTCTTCAAACGTCATGGACAATCAAAACCAAGAAATGAGAAACATTCCATTGGAAGACAGTGCATCCAGGGAGCCATAAAGGACATGAGGTGAACATCTGCTCTTCAGTCCATTTCCCCTCACTGCTTGAAAGAGGACTTAGGAGACAGTGTAAAGAGGAGGTGGAAAGAGATGGAAATACAAACACATGAGGGAGATGGGGAAAATAGACAAAGGAGAGGCACCGGTGTGGTCTGTTCATCAGTAAAGTGCAGCTCAGTAATAATTCTGCTGGTCAAAAGCTCTGCCTGCAAGACCACGTAGCTAAACTGGCAGACACAGCAACTTGGTGTGGGAATATGGGGCCAGCTACATCACCTGGTTCTGCTGGTACCCCACATAAACCCATTAAGGAATCTGGTCCAAAAAATCCTGGTCTCCAAGGAGGCAAGAAAATTTCTGGAAAGTTTATTGAGAAGGCTGAATTTAGCATATGCAGATTAAGTAAAAATGATAACAGACTCATCATTCCCCTCAACCTTTAAAACGCTAACACTTCACTTATAAACCACACAAATATTTGGAGCCAGAAGACTACAGCAAGACTACTAATAATAGGCATAAGAATACAAAAAGGAAATTTTCTTTTTTTTTAAAAAAAATATTTTATTTATTTATTTGACAGAGAGAGACACAGCGAGAGAGGGAACACAAGCAGGGCGAGTGGGAGAGGGAGAAGCAGGCTTCCCGCAGAGCAGGGAGCCCAATGTGGAGCTCGATCCCAGGATCCCGGGATCATGACCTGAGCTGAAGGCAGATGTTTAACCACTGAGCCACCCAGGCGCCCCCAAAAAGGAAATTCTAGGTCATGTAGAAATTGCTTAGCACTCAGTAGGAGTGCTCAAATATGTTTTTTAATGAACAAATAAAAGATTACATGAATAAATGGGTAATGAAGTAATGCAACAAATATAGTTGACTCTCATTATTTGTCGTAGTTATATTCTACAGAGGCACCTTGAACACTGACCAAGTGAACACTGAACCATTGCTCCTAAGGGAAAACACAAGATTAGGTTCCTGTATTCCTCTGGTCACAACATTCTCATCAGCCCATCAATACATAACCTTGTTTTATTTGTGTTTCTGTTTAAAGACACCTTAGTTATAATAAACATTATGATTCATTAACACTGAACTCACAGTCAACAACACTTATAACTCATGCCCCAGGGAAGCTCATCTAACACATACATCTTTCTCCATAGGATACATCACAGCCTTCTTGAGCTTAGCAACCCCAGACATCACTTCAGTACTATGTGGGGGGCCCGTTTTAAACAGAGAGGACAAGGGAAGCTCCACATTTTATACTTCTCGTGGACCCTAACTTATGTGCTTCTTCCCTTGGCTGATTTCAATTTGCACCCTTCCCTGTAATAAATCATGATTGTATTAACAGTGATTAGAGAGTTCTATGAGTCCTTCCAGTGAATTATCAAGCCTGAGGGGAGTTTGAGGGACCCCCTCCAACTTGCAGTTGGTGTCAGAATTAAGGAAAGCTTTGGGACTGTGCCCTCTAACTTGGTAATTGGCCCTAATTCCTCACAAACCCTGTGTAAAGCAGGGTGGAAGCAGTGAGAGCCTTATGTAGATTGCTTTGACGTTGGAGAAGGTGAGAAAGAGGCTAATTCTCAAAATCCTGCCTCTGGGGAATTGTGTCTCTAGTCCTAGATAGGGCTTTCTTAGGGAGCATCAACTTTTTTTTTTTTTTTAAAGATTTTATTTATTTATTTGAGAGAGAGAGAATGAGAGAGAGCAAGCACATGAGAGGGGGGAGGGTCAGAGGGAGAAGCAGACTCCCTGCCTAGCAGGGAGCCCGATGCGGGACTCGATCCCGGGACTCCAGGATCATGACCTGAGCCGAAGGCAGTCGCTTAACCAACTGAGCCACCCAGGCGCCCCCTTTTTTTTTTTTTTAAGATTTTATTTATTTGAGAGAGAGAATGAGATAGAGAGAGAGAGAGCATGAGAGGGGGGAGGGTCAGAGAGAGAGGCAGACTTCCTGCCGAGCAGGGAGCCCGACGTGGGACTCGATCCCGGGACTCCAGGATCATGACCCGAGCCGAAGTCAGTTGCTTAACCAACTGAGCCACCCAGGCGCCCCTGGGAGCATCAACTTTTACTTAAAGCTGTGTGACTTCAGGAAATCTACTACCTCTCTGAATCTTATTCTTTATCTATAGAGTAACATCATTTAAAATGGGAATAGTAACAACACAGGTTTGTTGTGAGGATCAAACTAGGTGTCATACATAAAGCACCCTGCAATTAGGAGGCCTTTAGTAAATGGCCTGCCCTCACCAAAAGTGAATTTAAAAACACAGTGATGTTACCATATTAGCCTCAGGCCATTGTCAATGATTTCAGCTGTGCATTCTCTTCTTCTTATTTGTTCTTCCCTGTATATCTACTGTTTTATAGAAAGCATTATTCAAGATGCTACAGATCATAATTCTGTGGCCAAATAAAATGAACATTTAGCAAGTAACCAAGAAATAGTGGGAGAAAAGTTTAAGTTTCCCTTAATATTAAAACAATTCTAATGATTAGTCACTTTTAAGAGTGAAGTTTGGGTTTTAAAAGTCTTTTCCGGGGCGCCTGGGCGGCTCAGTCATTAAGCATCTGCCTTCAGCTCAGGCATAGCCCAAACCAAGTACACTGGCAAGAAAAAACAAGGACACTCCTGAAATAAATTGACCTTGAAAATGGGTTAACTGAAACTGGTGATGTAGGGCCACCCAAAGGTCTTATGGGTTTATTAGGGAAGACAGATTCTGACCCAGCATGGGGCTGATGAGAGAAGTGTCCTCAACCTCCCTGGCATTGAATCGCTGAGTATAAGAACATGAACTAAGTGCAATCTGGACCTCCAAGTGGGGTCACTACTGTGACCTGGGCCAAGTCTGACCAGAAACAGCATCCTAGCAGCAGTAAGACAAGCAACTGTGAACAAACAGTATGGGGCTGGTCTTTAACACTGACAGAAAGTGATAAAGATAAGGAAGACAGATGGTGTACTATTATAGTGCAGCTCTCTTTCTGGCATTTGGAAGAGGATGGGACCATTGTGGGACTGAGTAAGACTCCTGGGGCTCAAACTAGCAAGAGGAGGAGGCTGCCTAAAGAGGAAGACACTGAACTTCCTGCTAACTGGGGCACTGATTAACAACAACAACAAACAGGGGAGCAAATTTGGCCCCTGAATTTATATAACAAGTCATGCCAGTTCCTTCTGGATACCTTTTGACCCAGCAGTTCTGTTCTCTTTCTAGGAATTTATTGTAAAACAATTAAGTATTTTTGGAAAATAGCAATATAGAAGAATATCACTGCAATATTACTTTTAAGATTTTACTTATTCTTTGAGAGAGAGAGAGTGTGCAAGCAGAGGGAGGGGCAGAGGGAGAGGCAGAGAGAGAATCCCAAGCAGACTCCACACTGAGGGCAGAGCCTGACGTGGGGCTCGATCTCATGACCCTGACATCATGACTTGAGCCAAAATCACAAGTTGCCACTTAATGGACTGCACCACCCAGGTGCCCCTGTAATATTACTTTTAAGACTAAAAACCTGGGGGGCACCTGGAGGGCACAGTCTGTTAAGCCTCAAACTCTTGGTTTCGGCTCAGGTCGTGATCTCAGGGTCATGCGATCCAGCCCTGCATTGGGCTGCTTGGCACAGAGTCTGCTTGAGATTCTCTCTCCCTTTGTCCCTCCTGCTCATGCTCACTCTCTCTTTCTCTCTCAAAATAAATGAATAAATCTTTAAAAAGACAAAAAACTGTATTCAACCTAAATGCCTAACAACTGGAAACCAATATGATCAATTATTACATATTCGGTATGAAGATACCTTGACTACATCAAAAGGACTTCATCTTGTACTCTGTTAAAAGTCTGTTCTCTTTTAAATATTTTACATCTTTTAAACCAGTGGTTCTCAAATTTTTGGTTTCAAAAATCTGCATTCTAAAGAGCTTTTAATATCTACTGATATTAACCATATTAGAAATTAAAAGTGACACAATTTGTTTTCATGTTTTAACAAATTTTTATTTAATTTGTTAAATTTTTGTTAATTTGTTAAATATAAAAATTATATTTTAACACTTTTATAAAAGATAACTTTATTTTTCAAAACAAAAAATTAGTTTTACATTTTGCAAATCTCTTTAATGTCTGCTCTAACCGAAGACAGATTCTCATACCTGCCTCTGTATTTAATCTATTGTGATATCACTTGCCATGTACCTTCTGGAAGATTCAACTAGACACTTGTGAGAGAATGAGAGTGAAAAAGGCACATAATGTTGTCTTCTTATTAATCTGTTTTGACTTTCAGAAACTCAGAAAAAACTTGGGGACCCCAGAGGTTCCCCAACCACACTTTGAGAATAACTTTTATTTTTTTTTGAAGATTTTATTTATTTGACAGAGAGAGAGAGAG